AAGGATGTATATTGTCACCCTACTTACTTAACTTATATGCAGAGTACATCATGAGAAACGCTGGGCTGGAAGAAGCACAAGCTGGAATCAAGATTGCTGGGAGAAATATCAATAACCTCAGATATGCAGATGACAGCACCCTTATGGCAGAAAGTGAAGAGGAACTAAAGAGCCTCTTGATGAAAGTGAAAGAGGAGAGTGAAAAAGTTGGCTTAAAGCTCAACATTCAGAAAACTAAGATCATAGCATCCAGTCCCATCACTTCATGGCAAATAGATGGGGAGACAGTGGAAACAGTGGCTGACTTCATTTTTCTGGGCTCCAAAATCACTGTGGATGGTGATTGCAGTCATGAAATTTAAAAGACACTTGCTCTTTGGAAGGAAACTATGACCAGCCTAGACAGCATATTAAAAAGCAGAGACATTACTTTGTCAACAAACGTCCATCTAGTCAAGGCTATGGTTTTTTTTTGTAGTCATATATGGATGTGAGAGTTGGACTATAAAGAAAGCTGAGTGCCAAAGAATTGATGAATTTTGAACTGTGGTGTTGGAGAAGACTCTTGAACAGTCCCTTGGACTGCAAGGAGATCCAACCAGTCCATCCTAAAGGAGATCGGTCCTGGGTGTTTATTGGAGGGACTTATGTTGAAGCTGAAACTCCAATACTTTGGCCACCTGATGCGGAGAGCTGACTCATTTGAAAAGACCCTGGGATCTTGCTGGGAAAGATTGAGGGCAGGAGGAAAAGGGGATGACAGAGGATGAGATGGTTGCATGGCATCACCGACACACTGGACATGGGTTTGGGTGGACTCTGGGAGTTGGTGATGGACAGAGAGGCCTGGTGTGCTGCAGTTCATTGGGTCGCAAAGAGTCTCACATGACTGAGCAGCTGAACTGAACTTTTATAGTTGTTTATTGATACTTCAAATTTATTTATCCTCTGGATAGCTTTTTATGTTATTTCATGCTATCACAAGGCTACTTTAGAAGCTTGACTTTTACTACTACTGCAGGGTATTTGATTTATATATGTTAATTATTCCTTTCATTGCAATTCTTAAAAATTCATCAAATGTAGCTTGTGTGTATATTATATGCAAGTTCTTAAGCATAGTGGTGAATGCAAAGACCATTGAATAAACTCTACCAAATGTGTCTCTCTGAGTAAGACTCTCTCCAACCAAAGAGCAAAAGCTTACTCTTGAAGAAAAGTTTCATCTGCTTCCCACCCACTTTGAAAGATATAGTGAAATCCACATCAAATCCTTGTTTAAGAAGTTACAGTATTCTTGAAAATATAGCCCAATATGTTTTCCAAATATGAAAAAAAAAAGTCAGAAAATTCTTGTTGCTTTTGAAATATCAGCTGTCAGATTACTGGTTTTATTAGTGAAAGATTGCCATCATTTCCATGACTCTTAAGCCATAATAATCCACTCTGAGCTGTAACTACACTTAGACATTCTGGTTGTAATTATTTTGGCTATATTTTTTTTATCTAGTTTGTTTGTTGTAATCTGACATTCAGCATACTGAATTATTGAATAAATATTTCAAATTTGTGTTAATATTAATTTTGAGATTCCAGATAAATAAGACCATAGCCTAACAACCACCATGGTTTGGTTCCTACTGGTCACCTATATTATCCAGATGTGCAGATACTATTATAGGCAGAATTTTGAAGATGTCCCCAAGACACTCACTGTCTGGTTACTCAGTCAAACTCTAGGTGTGAAGGAATTTTGCAGAAGGAATTACCATTACTAATCAGCTCACCTTCAATAGAAAGGTTTCCTGAGTTACGCAGGGGGATGACCAAAATAATCACATGAGCCCTTACCAGTAGAAGAGGAAGACAAGAGTCTCTCCGAGAAATGCAGTCAAGATGGAGGAAAGGAAATGGTAGAAGTCCAAGCAAAAGCAGGCTTTTCTCACACTTTTGCCTCTGAGCAGAGGTCCCAGTGTAAGTTCCAGCAAGAGATGTCTCAGGGTTGAGGGCAGCCCCCAGTTAACCATCAGCAAAGAAACAGGAAACAGTCCTACAAACAGTGAATTCAGGAACTGAATTCATCTAACAGACAACCATAGGAGTGGAAAAGGTCAGTTTTCATTCCAATCCCAAAGAAAGGCAATGCCAAAGAATGCTCAAACTGCTGCACAGTTGCACTCACCTCAAACTCTAGCAAAGTAATGCTCGAAATTCTCCAAGCCAGGCTTCAACAGTACATGAACCGAGAACTGCCAGATGTTCAAGCTGGAATTAGAAAAGGCAGAGGAACCAGAGATCAAATTGCCAACATCCACTGGATCATCAAAAAAGCAAGAGAGTTCCAAAAAAAACCCTTTACTTTTGCTTTATTGACTACGCCAAAACCTTTGACTGTGTGGATTACAACAAACTGTGGAAAATTCTTAAAGAGATGGGAATACCAGATCACCTTACCTGCTTCCTGAGAAATCTGTATTCAGGTCAGGAAGCAACAGTTAGAACCGGACATGGAACAACAGACTGGTTCCAAATAAGGAAAGGAGTATGACAAGGTTGTATATTGTCACCCTGCTTATTTAAATATATAGAGTATACCATGTGATATGCTGAATGAATGAAGCAAATGAATGAATGAATGGATGGATGAAGCACAAGCTATAATCAAGATTGCAGGGAGAAATATCAATAAGCTCATACACACAGATGACACCACTCTTATGGCAGAAAACAAAGAGAAACTAAAGAGCCTCTTGATGAAAGAGGAGAATGAAAAAGCTGGCTTGAAACTCAACATTCAGAAAACTGAGATTATGGTATCTGGTCCAATCACTTCATAGCAAACAGATGGGGAAACAGGGGAAACAGTGCAGACTTTATTTTGAGGGACTCCAAAATCACTGAAGATGGTGGCTGCAGCCATGAAATTAAAAGATGCTCGCTTCTTGGAAGAAAATCTGTGATCAATCTAGATAGCATATTAAAAAGCAGAGACATCACTTTGCCAACAAAGGGAAGATTGAGGGCAGGAGGAGAAGGGGATGACAAAGGATGAGATGGTTGGATGGCATCACCAACTCAATGGATATCAGTTTGAGAAAGCTCCGGGAGTTGGTGATGGACAGGGAAACCTGGCGTGCTGCAGTCCATGGGGTCACAAAGAGTTGGATACAACTGAGTGAACTGAGCTAACTGAACAGAAACCTAAATGAACTGAGACACATTCTTCCCAGAACCTCTGATAAGAGCCCAGCCAGCCAATACCTTACTTTAAGTCTTGTGCAGTCTTGAGAAGAGAAGCCAGTACAACCAACCCCAGCTTCCTACCTGTAGAAATATGAGAGAATAAATTTGTGTTGATTTAGATGCTAAATTTGTGGTAATTTGTTATAGCAGTGGTAGAAAACTATGGTTGTTCAGTCGCTAAGTCATGTCCCTTTGTGACCCCATGGACTGCAGCATTCACACTTCCGTGACCTTCACTACCTCCAAGAGTTTGCTCAGACTCATGTCTATTGAGTCAGTGATGTCATCCAACTATCTCATCTTCTGATACCCTCTTCTCCTCTTGCCTTCAGTCTTTCTCAGCATCAGGGTCTTTTCCAATGAGTCAGCTCTTCACATCAGGTGGCCAAAGTATTAGAGCTTCAGTTTCAGCCTCAGTCCTTCTAATGAATATTTAGGGTTGATTTCCTTTAGGATTGACTGGTTTGATCTCCTTGCAGCCCAAAGGACTCAAGAGTCTTCTCTAGCACCACAATTCAAAAACATCAATTCTTCAGTGCTCAGCCTTTTTTATGGTCCAACTCTTATATCTGTACATGACTACTGGAAAAACCATAGCTTTGACTATATGGACCTTTGTTGGCAAAGTGATGTCTTTGCTTTTTAATATTCTCCCTAGGTCTGTCATAGCTTTCCTTCCAAGGATCAAGCATCTTTTAGTTTCATGGCTGCAGTTGCTGCAGTGATTTTGGAGTCCAGGAAAATAAATCCATTACTGTTTCTACTTTTTCCCCCTATTTGCCATAAAGGATGGGACCATGAGTGTCTTGAGAAAAAGGACAATGTCTCATTTGTCTTTGTCTCCAGGTGGACACATTGTAGGCATTTAATAAATGCTTCTTGAATGTTGTATGTAGTGGTTTGTCTTTTTCCCCTAAGAAAAAAGCCGCTTTAAAAATTCTATGTTCTATATATTTTCCTATAGTTATGCTTTCTAATCCAGTGCTAGAAAATCCAGTGGATTTGGAAGCAGCCCATATACTGATGAAAGATGAAATTCTGTACATGCCATGATCTTAATTTTTTGAATGTTGAGAAAATGACTTGTTTTCGTTGTTCTCTAACACTTCAGTTAAACACTTCAGTTAAAGTTCAGTCCGACACTTTCCAGCCCCATGGACGGTAGCACACCAGGCCTTCCTGTCTCTCACTATCTCCTGGAGTCTGCCTAAATTCATGCCCATTGAGTCGGTGATGCCATCCAAACATTTCATCTTCTGTCACCCTCTTCTCTTTCTCCTTTCAATCTTTCCCAGCAGAGAAAACTACTAGTGATACCAAATTAAGCATTCAGTGATCTGTGGGGATATTGAATTGCATGCAAGCTTTTAATACATGTGTTTGTTTATTCATGATCTAAATATCTCATGTTAAAATGTAATTATTTTTTTAATGGAAATGTTTCAGTGTTTCCTAATGTTTGGTTCCCTTTACACATAAATCAATTTAAAGTTATGTGATAGGAAGGAATAATTTACAGGGAGGAACTTGTAACTTGCTTTGATCCTAATGTTTGGCTCATGAATGTACAGTATAAAACCAAGATAGATCATGAGTGTCTTGAGAGTAAGGACCATGTCTCATTTGTCTTTGTCTCCAGGTGGACACATTGTAAGCATTTATAAATGCTTCCTGAATGTTGTATGTACTGGTTTGTCTTTTTCCCCTAAGAAAAAAAGCCGCTTTAAAAATTCTGTGTTTTATATGTTTTCCTATAGGTTATGCTTTCTAATCCAGTTCTAGAAAATCCAGTGAATTTGGAAGCAGCCCATATACTGATGAAAGATGAAACTCTGTACAGACTAATAATTCTACGACTTTTCCACCAGCCGTTACCATGTAAGAAGTGACTACTTATTGTTACTTGCCAAGTATTAATTATTCATAGCAAGTAAATGATCTAGCAAGTAACTTGCAATATTTTCTGTATCCATTTTCAGTAATGAAGTCATACTGAGATCTTTCCTGTTGTGTCTGTGTCAAAGCCGCCTGTGTCATCCTTTCTTTTTCTAAGTGAAGTATGATTGACTTACAACGTTGTGTTGATTTCAGATGTACAGCAAAATGATTCAGTTATACACATATATTTATCTATTTTATATATGTGTTTTTTCAGATTCTTTGCTCTCATAGGTTATTATAAAATATTGAGTTTAATTCCCTGTGCTGTACAGTAGGTCCTTATTGATTATGTATTTTATGTATAGTCGAGTATATATGTTAATCCCAAACTCCTAATTTACCCCTGCTTCCCCCTTTGGTAATGACAAGTCTGTTTGCTATATCTGTAGGTCTATTTCTACATTGCATATAGGTTCATTTCTGTCATTTTTTAAGATTCCACATATAAGCAGTATCATATTTGTCTTTCTCTGTTTGGTTTAGTGTGATCCTGTTTTTTAATTATCAAAAATTGCAATCTTAGTATCTTTAAATGTCATGGTCATATGGACAAATGGTGCCCGTGTCATAAAGATATGACACCAGTTTTTAACTCTCTGATCTATAGTAGCTGTTTCTCAGACTTCACCCTCGGTAGCCACCAGATCTTACTAATCTGAGACTCCTTTCCCCTTGGTTAGGAAAACTGTCAGCATTTTTTTTTCTAGAGAGGTCCCCTTCTAGGTTTTCCCTCAAAGAATCCACGTGGAAGTGACTGAGGCTCTGCAGCCCTTCTGTTCTGTTGCCCAGTGTTTTTCCGATACCCTTGGTCACTTCACTCTCTTCTTACCAACAGCCCTTTCGTAACTCTTAGCTCCATCACCTCCATGGCTCCTTTGCTTTCTCTGCAATGAGAAGAGCAAAGCTATTGGCTCCTCTTGCCCAGAGGGGTTAGCCACTGGTGACGGTTGGGCTCCTGGTGACATAGCGTTTTCCTCTACAATCTGCCCTTCCTTTCAGCGGTACCCAACTGGCCTTGTGACCTCCCCAATCAGCAGGCCTTGCTGCTCAGGCTCACTCTTCCAGACTGATCTCTCTTGTGCTTCTTCTCTTCACTAGATGTCCATGGTCTCTTCTTTCCCCTTCTGGGACCTGCCAGTCCATTGAATGTGTACAATTTGCATTGAAGTTCAAGTGCTTTTCCGCAGAGCATCTGAATCTGATGCAGTATTGATCAGGCATCTTTTTCAGCATCTTCAAATATGTCATGATTGTCGCAGAGTTCTTCAGAATTCTCCTAACAATTTTAAGGCTGGTGTGTCCACAGAGGAATGGTACTTCTTCACACTGATCATATTTCTGACCAACCAGAATCTGTAGTATTCCCTCGCTGTATCCTCTCCACTCAGGAAATGTTTGTGGAATGAGCAAATGAATGATACATATCCCTTAATCTTTCATCAAGCCCTACAGTACCATCCTTGCAGAAGAATATTCTATACAAAGCTATATTCATATTCTGGTGAATGGAAATTTAAGAACCGGTTGTAAAGAATTTTCATGATAAATGATTCTGTGCATTAGATTTTGGTTTTAGCCTGAAAGAGAAGGATGAGAAGAAACTGGAAGACAAGCTGGCCCTTTCTTTTCTTCTTTTCTCTCAGGGCAGTGTCACCCTTCACTCCTTTCAGTCCCCCAGCTTTGCCATCAACCCAGACAGGAAAGCTGTCCAGGTTCCCAAATCACCGAACAAATGAGCGACAAAGCAGATAGTGCTTTGGCAGGTTTTCACGGTTTGCTTTATGTGTGTTGGTGAAATATGTGGAAATCCAAGACAGTGAATAGTTTTCAGCTTGCCTGCCCTCACAGCAGGACTGGAGTAGTACCTTTAGTGCCAGGAAGAAAATTATTTTCTGCAGCTTCGTAGGGAAAGACTGCTGTAATGCAGCAGAAGCAGCTGCTATGGTGGAAAATAAAGTGCAAAAAACCGTCTAAATTAGATGGTCTGTCACTAAAATTACTCTAAATTAGATGGTCGTATTGTACCATGTGAATTTCTGTGAAAAACAACATCCAGTGAGAATTAAACACCTATAATGAATTGGGCTTCCCTGGTAGCTCAGCTGGTAAAAATCTGCCTGCAATGCAGGAGACCCTGGTTCGATTCCTGGGTCGGGAAGATCTGCTGGAGAAGGGACAGGGGACCCACTCCAGTATTCTTGGGCTTCCCTGGTAGCTCAGCTGGTGAAGGATCTGCCTGCAGTGTGGGAGATCTGGGTTTGATCCCTGGGTTGGGAAGATCCCCTGGAGAAGGGAACAGCTACCCACTCCAGTATTCTGGCCTGGAGAATTCAGTGGACTGTATAGACCGTGGGGTTGCATAGATTCAGACATGACTGAGCCACTTTCACTTCAATGACTTGAAAAAAAGGTCTCTACTACATTACTGCAAGAATCAGATCTCATATTCATTTAATATATTAATAAAGAGGTCTAGAAAGTACATAGAAGAAATTATTATCTCATTCTTAGATAACACAGAACTGGAGCAGATAATTAATTACATACATGAGAAACTCGAGAGGCAGCTAACTGTATCATCTCTGTAGGCATTAATTTTAGGCTTCAGCAACATTGTCAATGCATAAACTTGGATCCTGATTTTACTTCATAGTTTACAAAGTGCTTTCACATGCATTTTATCTGTCTGATCCTCAGTCTCTTCCTCAGTGAGGAAGCTGAGGTTCAGTGATAAAAGGATTAGCCCAAGGGCACACAGCTAAGCTACAAGGCCAGAGAGCCAACCTGGATATTCCCGTTGCCCCTCTAATGGGGTAATGCAATGAAAAGCTCCAATTTAATGCAATGAACATAAAGTCATCCATTTGGGATCAAAGGATTAAAATTTCCAAATACAGAAGAGAAGAGACCTGACTTCATAGCAGAACATTAATCTATGAAAAATTATCAGAGAGCCCTTTGAACAGAAGCCTAATGTGAATAATAATTAATAATAATTTACCAAGCATGTGTTAAGGTGATAGCTTTCCTGACTCTGGTTTGCTGTGCCCTCATCCAAGCATGCTCAACTGCCTCACATTTCCTGTGATGAAGAAACTGTACATTTAGCTAGTGGAAGGAGAGCTAAAAGGCAGTTGTAAAATCCATTTTCAAATATTTGAAGGGATTTCCTATAGAAAAGGGAAATTTCTTCTCCATTGCTCCAGGATACTAATATCAGACTAATATTGAAGCTACAAGTCAGTCATATCTTCCCCAGGACTGGTAGGTTGTAGCCACTGATGTCCATGATATACAGGTTTTGCCCTATTTGTACCTTGAATACACCAGGGACTTTTTTTTTATTCTCATAATTAGTGGTCTGGAATTAATTTTGTTATCCTAAGCCTAAGACTCCTGTTTGGTAGGCAGATATGCCAGTGCCTCTCATTTCCCCAAGTTTGCCTACCATCTGCTGTGTACCTGAAGAGCTAGGTCTTTACCTTGGTGGACTGACAAAAATGCACAAGCTGTGAGCTCAAACCCAGCCGTTGGAGATCCTGATGACCTTCCCGTGTCTCGGCAGCCTCTTCTCCTTGTGGCCTGGACTCTGACCCCCTTACTTACAGTTTGTGTGCTCACACATACCAGACTACCTGGAGCAGTCCTGGGGTAATTATGCTGAGTTCTCCCTTCACTCTCCCTTCACTTCCTTCACTCTCTTCATTCCAGTTTGGGCACTGAGTTACAGTCATTTGGGTTAGCTGATCTTCCTAGATGTTGCATTTGCAGCATCCCTCATGGGAAAGTCCATCCAGCAGGTCCCAGCCGGCCAAACACAAGGAAGGATTTTCTTCTTTTTTTTTTTTCATTTATTTTTATTAGTTGGAGGCTAATTACTTTACGATATTATAGTGGTTTTTGTCATACACTGACATGAATCAGCCATGGATTTACATGTATTCCCCATCCCGATCCCCCCTCCCACCTCCCTCTCTACCCGATCCCTCTGGGTCTTCCCAGTGCACCAGGCCCGAGCACTTGTCTCATGCATCCAACCTGGGCTGGTGATCTGTTTCACCATAGATAATATACATGTTTCGATGCTGTTCTCTTGAAAAATCCCACCCTCGCCTTCTCTCACAGAGTCCAAAAGTCTGTTCTGTACATCTGTGTCTCTTTCTCTGTTTTGCATATAGGGTTATCGTTACCATCTTTCTAAATTCCATATATATGTGTTAGTATGCTGTAATGGTCTTTATCTTTCTGGCTTACTTCACTCTGTATAATGGGCTCCAGTTTCATCCATCTCATTAGAACTGATTCAAATGAATTCTTTTTAATGGCTGAGTAATATTCCATGGTGTATATGTACCACAGCTTCCTCATCAATTCATCTGCTTGACCCAGCAATCCCACTTCTGGGCATACACACCGAGGAAACCAGATCTGAAAGAGACACTTGCACCCCAATGTTCATCACAGCACTGTTTATAATAGCAAGGAAGGATTTTCTAACCAAGTCGCTTACGAATGGGCAAGACAGTGTTGACAGGTGGTAAACTCCCTATCACTGAAGGTATGCTTTCATAGCTTTCATTCATTTGGCAGAGCTTAATGACTTGATTTTCAGGGCTGTTGTCAAAGAATATTTTGCCCAGTGTCAGGAGTTGGACAAGGGGATTTTTCAAGTGCCTCCCCAGTTATACTTCAATTTGTTTATGAAAACTTGGAGGTCTGGAAGAAGACAATGTATAACATAACTGTGTTGCCTCCTAGATTCTTAGTAAATTAGAGACTTTCTAATTTGTTACAAAGGGATTTCATATATAGTGGTCCCCCCTTATCTACCATTTCACTTTCTATTTTTAGCCATCTGTAGTCAATTTTGATCTAAAAGTATTAAATGGAAAATTCCAGAAATAAATGATTCATGAGTTTTCAATTGTGCATCATTCTGAGTAGTATGATGAAATCTCTTGCCATCCAGCTTCATCCTGCCTAGCATGTGAGTCTTCTCTTTGTTCAGCATCTCTCAGCCGTTAGTCACTTAGTAGCCATCTGTGTTATCAAATGAACTGTCTGATATCTGAGGTATCTTAGTACTTCTGATCAAGTGACCCTTACTTAATCATGACCCCAAAGCACAAGAGTGGTGCTGCTGGCCATTCACACATGTCAAGAGAAGCCATAAAGTGCTTCCTTTAAGTGAAAGTTCTCAACTTAGTAAGAAAAAATATCATATCTGAGGTTGCTAAGATTAACAGTAGGAACAAATCTTCTATCCATGAAATTATGAAGAAGGAAAAAGAAATCCATGCTAATTTTGCTGTCATACCTCAGACTGCAAAAGATATGGCCATAAAGCATAAGTGCTTAGTTAAGATGGAAACAAGACATTAAATTTGTCCAAGATATTTTGAGAGAGAAAGAGACCATATTCACATAACTTTTCTTGCAGTATGTTGTTAACAATTGTTCTGTCTTATTATTAGTTATTCTTGTTAACCTCTTACTTTGCCTAGGTTACAAATTAAACTTCATCATAAGTATGTATGTATAGGGGAAAAAACATAGTATAATGTATATAGTGTTTCATACTGTCCATGTTCTTAAGCACCACTCGGGGGCTTGGAGGGTATCCCCTGCCAATAATGGGGAACTACTCTAAGCTCATACATCTTATCTTTTTTTTCAGTTTGTCCCAGTGAATTTTTATTTCTGTGTGGTAATATGGTCAAATTATTTTTTGTTTATCATGTTTATTTTGATATTTAAAGCATGCATGCATGCATACTCACTCAGTTGTGTCCGATTCTATGCAACCCCGTGGACTGTAGCCCACCAGACTTCTCTGTTCATCGGATTTCCCCAGCAAAAATACTGAAGTGGGTAGCCATTTGATCTTCCAGGGGAGGGGATCTTCCCAACCCAGGAATCAAACTGGCATCTCCTGTGTCTCCTGCATTGGCAGGTGGATTACCACTGAGCCACCTGGGAAGCCCTATTCAAAATATAGAGTTCATATAATTTAAAAAAATCTTTGGTTGAAACAAAATGTATAAGAATATAAAGATAAATAATAGTAGCCAAACCTAAGGTAATAATTTTTCTCTTAGCTAGGCATATTCCTTTAGCTTTTGTTAAAGAAGAGTCATTCTACTAAGTTTCAGATTCTTATCTAAATAAGCTATAATTTAATTACTGACAGTCAAAATACAAGAATAGAGAAGAATTATAGAAATATTAGGGAGATTATACTACTAATTCACATTATGTAGTACTTAAAAAAAAAAACTTAAAAAAAAACACATGATGATTGCGCAAATACATCCCATTCTGCTTACAATGAGGAAGATGTGATAAGCATTTGATTCTTCTTCAGTTTAAGTTCTCAGTTGGTTCACTGTTCTTTTTAAAGTCCCCATTGCAATAGAACAAGTTTTAAAGAAACTTGTTTCTACAGCTGAAGCAGATGATGTCTCAGAATTTCAGGTGATTTTTTTTTCTTCAGAGGGAATATTGGTTGTTGAGTATTCCTATAAGAATTCTATTTCCTCTGGAAAAACATTCTTTCTGAATATCAGGAGGGAGAAATTTAGTCCAGTAGTATAACTTGCTAATTAAGGAACATGAGCTTTTAGCACCATCATTCAACCATAATTTTGTTGTTGATGATTACAGTATTATCACAGATAGATCTGCTGTCTACAGATGTCAGGCAATGTAAAAATTGTGACTTTAACAGGGGTAGTGTATGTGGATCTATTTGCTGAGGTTACCAACCTCATTTTTCCTGCTTGTACTTCATTGCACCAGATAGTCCAATAACTGTTAAGTAAAGTTTTAAAGCAGTTTTACTAAAAATCTTAAGTATCTATTTTCTATCAAAGAAGTATTTGTTCATAGCTTTAAAGGACAAATAATCCAAATCAGTGTTTAAGGAAATACAGCAGACTTGTAAGCCCCACCATCTATAACTAAAAGCTGCCCCCACCCCCCACAAGATACCAACAGCTTTCAACACATTTAGCTGTTTCTTTTGGAATTACCACTGTATTTCTAAGTGCATTCCATACTAAAATTCTAGGATTTTCAGTTTAGATATGACTCATGGGCTTCTTCTGAAAGATAAAGGTAGAAATTTTATGGTGCCATTTCCACTCACATTTTCTCTCCCCCATTCTCCCAGTATCATTCATTTACATTGATATGACTTAGTAAATATTCTTCACAGATGAGCCATGACTGATTTTTCTTTTCTTGGACAAATGGCCTGTATTTTTATCCCCTTGGTTTTGTTTTTTGGATTTATTTTGGTTTGTGTTTTGGAAGAATATCTACCATTTATTCTTTCCCCAAACTTTCTGACAAAACCGCGAAGAACAGTTTTGGTGTTCAGTTTGGTTTTTTCCCTGGGAAACGCCTTTGCTGAGGAGCTCACTCATCCTCCTCTTCCGGTTCTGAAAGGGCAGTTCTCTCACAGGAATCCTGGGAAGGCCGTTCTGCCACCTATTGAATGGGAGCTCTCCTTTTCCTCCGGGTTGGTTTGCTCCTTTATTTTGTTGAAACACTTCTGCCAGGAGCTTTCTAGTACAAGAGCACTAAATCTTTCATTACTTCACATGCCTGAAAAGGTATTCACTCCACTCTGATATGTTCATAATTTGGTTAAACTTTAGTTTGAAAATAGTTTTCTTTCAGAATTGTAAAGACTAGTTTCCAGTATTACCCTTAAGAAATCTGCTTTCCAACTCCTCCAGCTCAATTCCAGAAAAATAAATGACCCAATCCAAAAATGGGCCAAAGAACTCAACAGACATTTCTCCAAGGAAGACATACAGATGGCACAAAAACACATGAAAAGATGCTCAACATCACTCATTATCAGAGAAATGCAAATCAAAACCACAGTGAGGTACTATTACACGCCAGTCAGGATGGCTGCTATCCAAAAGTCTACAAGCAATAAATGCTGGAGAGGGTGTGATGTAAAGTAATTAGCCTCCAACTAATAAAAATAAATGGGGAAAAAAAAAGTTCAAAAAAAAAAAAAGAAAGAAATCTGCTTTCATGCAGATGTCTGCTTCTCCACATGTGACTTATTTTCAGTGGAAGCTTTTAAAATCTTCTCTTTATTCCCAGTGATCTGAAATTTCTTGATAGTATTTCTTGATATAATTTCATTTTTTTTCCTCCTCATTCATCATGTAGGGCATTTCATAGGCTGTTTGAATCTCAAACTCTTAATTCTTTAGTTTTGGACTTTTTTCTCATTTGATTTCTTTTATAATTCCCTTCCCCTCCAGTTTCCCTGTTCTCTCTTCTAAATCTCCAAAGATTTGGATGTCGAATCTACTGATCTGTTATGCAACCTTTTTAAAAAATCTATTTTCTCCAATTATCCTTCTCTCTGTTTTTTGTTCTGTATTCTGGAAAATGTCCAGAAAAGTATGTTTCTCATTTCTATTTTCTTCCTGTTTATTATTGTTGTTATCATTCAAAATAAGGACTTTACTCAATTATCTACCCACCTTTAACTGTGCATCTGTATAATGTGTGAAAATCATTCATTGACTGATGAATGAAAATGATGAATGACAGTCGTTCATTGAAAAGACTGGAAATTTTGGATACAGACTAGACTTGCTGATGGTTTTGTTTCATTATAGGATCATTCACTGAGGATCTGACCTTACCATTAGCTAGGTTTAACTGTTTCTTCTGAGATGAATCCTCCAGTCATATGCCTGAAGAAAGAAAGGTTAACTACTTACACTCTAGGAGCTGGACAAGGAGAGAGAGTAAGGAATATTGCTTATTCAATATGATCTGTTTGATTTATTCTCTGTCATCAGTCCCTTACCACGCTCTTGTTCTGCTGTCCCCTGAATCTCTCTGGCTCAGTCTCTCCAGAATAAGGTATCTTCTCTCCTGCCTAGGCAGCAGTGGTCATCTGGTTACATAGGATGAAGGCTATGTCTTTGGTATCCACACTATACATTTCACCTTTCAGGGGTATCTGGTACCTCCAATTCCTAAATTGTTTCTCAAGTTCTGAAGTGTAAATCTATTTGCTTTTTATTGGCCTTCTTTCATCATGTCATTAGGTTTCAAATTTCTATGACCTGTTAAGATAGTTACCACTTGACATCTGCTTTCTATCTTGAACATTTTTCTTGCCATCTTTCTTTTGCTCTTCTTGAGATTTTACACCTTATTTTTTTTTTTTCAACCTCATGGACTGTAGCCCACCAGGCTCCTCTGTCCATGGATATACTCCAGGCAAGAATATTCAAGTGGATTGCCATTTCCTTCTCCATACACCTTATTTTTATTCCTTTCTTACTGTCTTACTGGGGCTTTGGAAAGAATGCACATAGGGCCATATATTCAGTCTTCCTTAAGTAAACCAGAATCTTTTCATATTTTTCTTTATAGCGAAAGATGATGGTTCTGAATTGCCAAAAGAGCCAGATAAACTTAACAGGTAAGTTTTCCTTTATACAGTTCTATGCCAGTTTATACACTAAAAGAACTATTGACTTAAACTGTATTTTCTATCATAATTGTATTTTCATTTTTTGACTTAGAAAAATTATTCCATTTAAATATATCTTCCCTTCCAATACCTTTTAAAAATGATTTTTTTTTTCCAGGAAGAATGTGAAAATCTTGAGTTCTTTCTAGACTATTTAATTAACTTTGAATGTAACTATATTAGTTGCCTGGTCTTTTATTTTTTATTTCTGAAAAGGAAAAAAAAAAAGCCCATTGTCTACATTATAGCCTGACCATTCTAGATCATAAAAATCCAAGCAGTTTAGGAAAAGAGTAAGTCTTGGAGCGAAATGGTGAGAGTTAGGGTTGAAGCCATTGTGCACTTGGGAGACCGCCTGACAGTGTGACCTTGAACGCTTGGAGGTGTGGGTTCTGCAGCTGTTAGGTTTTCTAACATTTGCATCAGCCTTAGTTTAATAGTCAGCCAGACTATTTCTACATAGAAAATAGTCAACTTACTAGTGCTGAAATAATACTTATTTTATCTTGGTTTTATACTGTACATGCTCCAGAACAAGGATCCTCTTAGTGGATTAATAAAATATAAAATGTTCCCCCAAAACTGAAATCAAAAAGGAACACTCAGATCCAGACTCTGTCCCAGAGTGTGCTGCTGCTGCTGCTAAGTCACTTCAGTCGTGTCCGACTCTGTGTGACCCCATAGACGGCAGCCCACCAGGCTCCCCCGTCCCTGGGATTCTCCAGGGGAGAACAGTGGAGTGGGCTGCCATTTCCTTCTCCAATGCAGGAAAGTGAAAAGTGAAAGTGAAGTCGCTCAGTCATGCCTGACTCACAGCGACCCCATGGACTGCAGCCCACCAGGCTCCTCCATCCATGGGATTTTCCAGGCAAGAGGACTGGTGTGGGTTGCCATTGCCTTCTCCCCCAGAATGTGAAACAATGTTGTACCAAGGGGCTCTGTGCCTGGAAGTGTTAGAAGCTCAGAAGGAGAAGACCCAGAACAACTGACGAAATGGTTCATTGGAACATGAGCACTGACCTCGTCTGTCCCCCAGCACTGAGATGAAGCCCAGCCAGTAGCAATGGTGGCGTTTGTCCCAGGCAGGAGCAGGAAGAAGGGGAAACCCTGCTAGAGGGAGGAAACTTGGGCCCTTTGGTTCTTTGTCTGGGGCTCTGTGTCCCTCATCAGACAGGCAGCAGGGTAACCAGACAGCACCGTGAGGATCCAGCACCGATCACAGGACTATAAAATCTGGACCCTGAAAGAAAGAGTTCACTAGAACTGTATTCAGAAATGATTCAAGAACCACGCTGAGATCAACTTGTAGTTGGTATCTTCTTGGAAAATCAAGATTCATGACATTGAAAGGGAAAAAAAGAAGTGAAAAGTGAGGAGAGAATAATGTCTTATAGGTACAGTGAGATTCTAGGCAGAGGGAATAGCTAGAGTATTGACTATTTGAGTATTGGATGTGAGCAAGGTGTGGTGGAGGGCTTCCTAGGTGGCTCAAGTGGTAAAGAATCTGCCTGACAATGCAGGAGGTGCAGGAGACACCAGTTTGATCTCTGGGTCAGGAAGATCCCCTGGAGGAGGAAATGGCAACCCATTCCAGTATTCTTGCCTAAAGAATCCTGTAGACAGAGGAGCCTGGCGGGCTGCAGTCCATGGAGTTGCCAAGAGTTGGACGGGACTGAGCATGCACACAAATGTGTTAGAGGATCAGAAAGAAGGCCACTTTCTGGCAAGAGGGAAGAAGAGATGGGTATGGAGGGAGTAAGAGATGTAGATAGGGCTTTATAAACTAGGTAAGGAATTTACAGGGAAAGATGTGTGGTTTGGGCTAGGGCTAAGGGCATAAATGTGGAGTGGGAGATAAGTGGATGAAATGGTTGGATTCAAGGCTTTAGCTTGACTTATTTGGGGCAAGAGAGAAAGTAGAATCAAGGATTAGTAATAGATTGTGGTTTGAACTGGATGGGTACCACAGTGACTTACTAAGATGGGGGAGATTGGAAGATCACACTACTGGCTTAAACTAACAATCCCAGTTATTGATGAAGCTGTGATTGTACTGTAGCAGTCCTGTGTTGCTATGCCTATTGACTGCCCACAGCTAGTTCAGAACACAGTTTAGCAGTTTCTTGTCATGTCAAAGGTTCACCTGCCCTCTAACCCACTCCTAAGTATTTGCCTAAAAGAAATAAAAGTATATATTCACAAAAGACTTGTATACAGATGTTCATAGGGGATTATTTGTAATATCCCAAACTAAAAACAACTAAAATGTCTATCAACAGCCAATATTATGTATTCAGCAGTTGAATATATAAATAAATTGTGTTGTATTTATAAACTGAATACTCTCAGCATTAAAATTGTTGATACATGCAACAACATGGAATGGTAATACAGGCATTATGTTGAGGGGGGAACTCAGTAATAAAAGAGTGTGTTCTGTAGAGTTCAATTTGTATGAAGTCTAGGACAGGAGAGACTCATCTGTGGTGATAGAGACTGGATCAGTGATAACCCAAAGTGTCAAGGGAGCGTAACTGGGAAGGGGCAGTAGGGAACTTTCAGGACTAGTGAAAATATTCTGTAACTTGTTTGGGCTTATGGTTATTCAGGGGCATGTTTTTATCAAAACTCATCAATCTGTACTCAACACTTACACATTTTATTGAATGTAAATTATACTTTAACAAAGCTAATTTTAAAGGTATTCAACTAACTTTACAACTCTTCTAAAGTTACTTCTAAAGTTCTAAAGTTACTTCAAATAAAATCTTTTTTTAAAAGGCATTCAAACTCTTCCAGTAAATAGAGACAGTGAATATGTTACCAAACTTCCAAACTCTGATTCTAAAATCAGAATTCATTACAAGAAAGGAAAATTATAGGTCAGTATTCTCATAAACCTGAAATGTATAAATCCTAACCAAAATATTAGCAAATTAAACCCTCTGATATATAAAGAAGGGATAGTACATGATGACTAAGTGAGCTTTGTTTCAGGAAAGCCAGATTGGTTTAAAATTTGAAAATCAATGCTTGTAACTCAGTTAACCAAATAAAGGAAAAATAAAAACAATTATCTCTATTAATCTAGAAGAAATCATTAATACTCATTCATGATAAAAATTCTCACCAAACTAGGAATAGAAGAGAATTTCCTTATTTCAATAAAGGGAATCTACTGAAATCAAACCAGTTAATCCTAAAGGAAATCAGTCCTGAATATTCATTGGAAGGACTGATGCTGAAGCTGAAGTTTCAATACTTTGGCTACCTGATGCGAAGAACTGACTCATTGGAAAAGACCCTGATACTTTGAAGATTGAAGGCAGGAGGAGAAGGGGACGACAGAGGGTGAAGTGGTTGGATGGCATCACCAACATGAATTTGAGTAAGCTCCAGGAGTTGGTGATGGACAGGGAAGTCTGGCGTGCTGCAGTCCATGGGGTCACAAAGTGTCGGACATGACTGAGTGACTGAACGGAATTGAACAGAAATCTAACAGCTAACCTCACACTTAAATGTGAAATGTTTAATCCTTTTCTCCCGAGTTTAGGAGCAAGGCAGGTATCCACATTATCACCGTTTATATCTGACATTGTACTGGAATCCTAGCCAGTGCAATGAGGGAAGAAAAACAAAAGTTATAAAATTTGGAAAGAATACAGTAAACCATTTGTATTCACAGATAACCCAATTATATACATATTGAAATCCAAAAGAATATACAAACTTGAAAGTTTGGAAATTAGTAAGTAAATCTAGCAAGGATCTTAGCTAGAAGATGAATATTCAAAAATTAACTATTTTTATATATGAGCAATCAACATAAAAATGAAACTTTAAAAATACCATTACAACAGATCAAAATAACAAAAGATGGGTAAGACATTTATACTGAAAATCACAAAATATATATGGGAGGATTTTTTTCAAGACCTAAAGAAATAGAGATAGACAATGTTTACCATTTAGGAAAGACTCAATATTATTACAGTATCAGTTCTTCCCATTTGTAGATTCAGTTCACTGTCAGTCAAAATTTCAACAGCCTTATTTTTTTCCTGGCAATTGATAAGGTGGTCTAAAATGTATCTAGAAATACAAAGGATTTAAAATAACACGGCAGTCTTGAAGAAGAACAAAGAGGATCGACAGTCTCAGAGACAAGGACATACTAGTAAACTAGAATAAATTGTACTGTTATTGGAGCTATTCAGGTCAGATTCCTGTCCCTATGCCAGTTATCACTGAGGTCCTGATTTAGAGCCAGTGGTAAGATCCAGTCCCCATATCAGACCACAAGGCATGTAAGGAATGGGAGAAGAATGGAACAGCTTTTGGGGAGGCAACCACTATATCCAGTGTGACAACCTTCATGTATGTATTAGTTTTATTGGACCTGAATCTTAGTGAGTATGACTTTGACAGGCACAGAGGGCAAAAGAGTCTCTAATAGAACTGCTTGCACAGACATGGATGCGTAAGATTGTGGTACACTAAGGATCAGCAGGAAACAGTTCCATGTGGTGGAGCCTCTGGATATAAGGATGAATGATGGGAGAAAAGGTTGGAAATGGCCAGATGATGAACCGCCTCAAATTCTATGTAGAAGTTTTTCGATGTCATCCTATAGAAGTAGATAACCTACTGTGGCTTCCAAGCAGAGACATAGTAACCTGGAATAGGGAGAGACCAAAGTAGAGCAATCAGATATGACTGACATGACTGCGTACGCATGCGCGAGGTAGAACAACAATTAGGAGGCTATTTGGAGTTTGCAGGAGAAAAGTGATGAGGTACTTATCCAAGGCAGTGAGGAGACCAGCTGACACTGGGTGCTGAGGGGTGCTGAACCCCTCCTTGACTCTCTTCATGCATGCTTTCATTGAATGCTCACAACCACCACTGGAGAAAATTCTGTCTCTGAAAACGTGAAGAGGTTAGGTAACTTGTTCAGTCACACAGCTAATCAATAATGGTGCCACCGTGTTTTAACCCAAGCCAGCTAATTGGGCTAGCTAATCATAGTCATGATACTACATGCCTCTTCATGATTTATTTGTTGTTGTTGTTTTAGTTGCTAATTGTATCTGACTCTTTTTCGACCCCATGGACTGCAGACTGCCAGGCTCCTCTGTCCGTGGGATTTCCCAGGCAGGAATACTGGAGTGGATTGCCACTTCCATCTCCAGGAGATCTTTCCGACGCAGGGATCAAACAAGTATCTTCTACATTGGCAAGCAGATTGTCAGTGAGCCATCAGAGAAGTCCTCATGGCTTATTAGCTAATTTCTTTTTAGTGCTGAATAATATTCCATTGTCTGAATATATACCACTTAACTTATCCATTCACCCATTGATGGAATCTTGGTTGCTTCTACATTTTGGCAATTATGAATAAAGCTGCTGTAAACATCTGCATATAAGATTCTGTGTGCACTTAAGTTTTCAGCTCCTTTGGGTAAATACCAAGGAGTGTTATTGCTGCATTGTGTGGTAAGAGTATGTTTAGTTTTGTAAGAAACCACCATGCTGTCTTACAAAAAAACTGTACCATTTTCCATTCCCTATCCAGAGATATTTAAGTATTTAGTCATTAGGCTTTGGCAATGGCTGGGGTGTTGCGTGCATGAAATAGGGCTACCATGATTCTCTTCCTTTAATGATCCAGGGAGGCCTGGTGTGCTGCGATTCATGGGGTCACAAAGAGTAGGACATGACTGAGTAACTGAACTGAACTGAATGATCCTTTTGGTTTCCTTCACTCCCCGCCACCCCCACCCCCCCGCCCCTTAACTATGAATTGGTTTCTGCCCTTTCTTTTCTAAACACTTATTCTTTTGGAGTTTGTTTTCCCTAATGGTGTCATCTATCAACTTTTATGTTGATTTGACCTAAATCTCTTATTTCCAGTCCCAATTTCTCAAATCACACTCCTAGAGGTCATCACCTACAACCCATGTTTAAAATTAAACTCATATTTTACTTCAATTTCTCTAGACACTTTCTATTAATAGCAAAAATAACTGGCCTTCTGGGTTTTAGGAGAATATGTGACCCTCAAATTCCTTTACTTTTCACACTCTATCAGGCAGCTGATTCAGTCAGTTCTTTAGCATTCTCGTAAATTCATCTCCTCCCCTTCATAATCTTTGCTCCCACCCTAGTATTGGCTCTCAGGATCTCTTGCCTAAGTTACTGAATTTATTTCCTAACTGGTCCTCTTGCATTTAATCTCTCATATAATCTACTCTGCATGCTAGTGCTAGAGAAAACTCTTGCTCAAACACTGATTTCTTAGTTTACTTGCCTTATTTGAGAACTTCTGATTACTCTCTATCACCTAATAAATCAAGATTACTGAATCAACTCTAATCCATTCTCTGCCTAAATTTGAAGACCTATCATTGCCTCATTTCACCTATTTTTTAATTAAATGCCAATTCGTCTGAAATTGGAACTTTTCCCTCTGGTCAGTTATCTTGTTACTATCACCTCGTCCCCCGGCATCCTCTCTATATAGGCATGAACACACCATACTCCTTGCCATCTAAGCTATTGTTAATACTGTTTCCCTAAAATGCCTCCTTCCTTTGTCCCAGGTCTATTTCCAAGTGACTCTTTCCCAAGTGGCTCCAAAATAAATTTACAGCTCCCTCCTCCAAATTTCTTCCTTATTGCCACTGCCAAAGACAGATTTTTCACCATAGTCTCCAAATGTCTGTTAAATGATGTGACCATTTATTATGTTAATATATAAAGCTATTCTACTTAATAGTTCAGGTATATATCTTATTTTCCCAACAGGATAATAAACCCTGATGTTCAGTTTAAAATAATGTCTTCTACTTTTTCGTATTCTTAATGCCAAAAATAATACTCAGTAAATTCCTACTATTGGTTGAAACTATAAACATAGGTATTTTTATGCTGCATCTGTCCATTAGTAGTTTATCTGAATAATAATAGTAAATAATTATTGTTCTCTTATTTGAAGGGGTTATTTACAGAGTTGAAGGTGCAGATATTCCCAAGTGTCCAAGGCATTCTGTTTCGTATATTCACACTATGCTAAAGTTATACCTTTCCGGGTAATATTTTTAATTATTCCAGGGGAAGAAGAGAAAGCCCCTAAAGGCTAACAGCTTGAAATTGAACAGGACACCATTGGGAAGGGAGAGGGTCATGGGTCGTCGTCAAGCAGACAAAAAACAATGGAGACGATTGTGCCTGAAGATGGTGTATTTTTTTTTCACGGGACAGTATGTTGACAGTTTCCTTCCTCTTGGGTCATTGTTGTCTGCTAAATGATCTGTGACAGCAGATTGATCACAAGCTTTTTCATGCAGGAGATATAATGCAGTCTTTCATTTTGTTACCTCCGTTGCCAAATGCCGAAACATTTTGTTGGCAAATTAATGTTAGTTTAGTATATCATTTAGTAGTATAAAGTGCTGAGTGTAGCTCTGGAAGCAATAGTAGTAGTGATTAATTTATCTTCACCAAGTTTCAGGTTTCTACTTAAGTGTGATTACAGATGCAATAGCACACTTGAAAAATGTTAGCCTTGAAATTTAGATGTCCGTAATTACTATTTAAATAAATGAATGCATTAACACATTCAGGTATTGCCCTATTACTTTCAAAATTGAGTCAAATATTTAAGCACCTATGATTTACTTATAAAAATTAATGCTAATAACCTATTATAACTGAAAATTTGCTTCTTCCTCCAGAGCTAGGAATTTAAAACAGACATAAGGTCTTTTACATTTGATGTTTAAGCATCCATTTAAGCCAGTTAATTGATGATTTCACATGTCTAAAAATTATCTGAAAGTAGTGTTTTGTTTATAGAGTATTGAGAATCCCTTCATTCAAAATGTTTGTAGGAAAGAAATCAGAAATGCAGTTATCTAAGAGTAAGAGACTGTTTCATAATTCCTGTTAATGATTTGTAGCAGTTTTTGCTCTTCCATTAGGATTTGGTAGCATTAGCACAGAGAAAGGAAATGTGCTGGCAGTAATATTAGAAAAGAGTTGTTTATTTTCCCTCTTTGGAAGTGATCAGATTTCTGTATAAAAATTAAACTAATCTCAATTCTGGTGTTTCTTTTCTCCTCGTAATAAAAAAGAAATAAAGGTGATTTTACTAAAATTCAGCATAGAAATGTAAGAAAGTTGTTTATTGTAGAAAGAGAAAATATACAGCTGTGATGCTTTATTTAAAGTTCTTTTCACTGTTAGTCACAAAAGGCAGTTATATTAAACCTAATTTTTTTCTTTTTATAATATACACATGGATGCACATTTATACTTATTATTAAAAACTGGTTTGGGCAGATCTTTTTTTGTGATTTGCATGTATTAGTGGAAAATTACATTAGATTTGTTTGTTAGAAATAACCATGCTAGAATTTGCAGATCAGCCTAATGGTTTGTGGGGGCTTCTCAGGTGGCACTAGTGGTGAAGAACCCACCTGCTGGTACAGGAGACATAAAGAGGCATGGGTGCAATTCCTGGGTAGGGAAGATTCCATGGAGGAGGGTGTAACAGCCCACTCCAGTATTCTTGCCTGGAGAATCCCATGGACAGAGGAGCCTGGCAGATTACAGTCCATAGCGTTGCAGAGTCGGACACAATTGAAGTGACTTAGCACACGCACACACACACACACACACACACACACACACTAATGGCTTATAACAAAATATCTGAAAGAGTCCACTCGATAAAATAATTTTAAAAAGCAAGTTTGCATGCTACTCACTGCCTGATTTTATTTTGTATTTTCAGGTCAATTAAATCAGTCTCATTTAGTGATTACTACAAGACATGGTCTGGAATAGCCACATCAAAAGCCACAGAATATTACAGAACTCCATGTAAGGTGATCTAGCCTTGTCTTGTTTTGTGGGGAGTGGGGTGGTATATTAATCTCTGAACATTCTTAGCTTGTCTTGCCTTCAAAGACTAATTCACACATATTTGGAATTTGAGGGTGATAAGCTTCTTTGTTGGCTCCATATACTAATCATTCGATAACTGTTCATTTAGTCCCTCTTTTGTATAGAGTCCTGGACTAAAGTCTGATCAAAAGCCAGAAGGAAAGATAGACAGTTGGAGGAATAAAAGATAAAGTTCTCAGTTCTTTGAGATTTACTTTACTCCCTCACCCCAGAAGGAAGCCTTCAGAGCAGGAGGAAACTTTTAAATTCTAAACACAATTATCCCCGAAGCCAGAGATATTATTAAGTAGAAAAACAGCAAGAAAACCTGGGGCTGCTCAATTATATCAGTCTAGTGAAAAATCATCTGTTACCATCACATAGTAAGAGCTGAAAAGATGGAACGGGAGAGCTGGAGAACTTCCTGGTCCCTTTTAATCTAATCTTTAGAGTGCTATTTTCTAATTTGTATCAAAGTAGGTTATCCAGTATGCACACATTTCTGAAATGTGACTTTGCTTCAGCCATCCAACTGAAATGGTACATTCTAAAGTTATCAATGTCTTCTGAATTCTCAGATTCAGTGATTACTTTTTTGAGTCCTTATCTTACTTGAACTCATATTGGCTATGCTCTCCTTATGACTCCATGGTTTTCCTCTTACCTTGCCAAGTGCTCCTCTGCCTCTTTCCTTAGCAATAATTTCTTCATTCAGTATTTGCTGCCCAGCTCTCTCTGGAAGACATCATCCATTACTATGGTTTTCATTAGCCCACATGCCAATAATTCCTAAAGCCTCATCTCTAACCAGACTCTCTTCTGAATTTCGAATACATATTTCCAGCTGTGTAGTGTAATAAGGTACCTCATATCTAAGATGTCCCAAAATGAACTCATTATTTTGGGTTCTTCTTCTCTTGGGTTCTTCAGACCTCTTCTCCCTCCCTTATTGTTTCTCTTGATTAGTAGTAGATCACCATTCTTGTATTTACTTGCTGAGCCAGAATCATGTACATTTCCCAGTCCTCTTTATCTCCCTCATTAAGCCTTATTGATTTTATCCCCTGAAGCATTACAAATGTTTTCCCTCTACTCCACCTGTGTGACCACTGCCTTAATTTGTGATCTCATCGTGTTTCATCTCATCCTTGTGATAGTCTGGTTTTAAGAGAACAAAATATCACCCCCCAAAAAATCGTGTCTAGTAATAAGAGCAAAAAGAACCTCCCAGGTGGCGCTGTGGTAAAGAACCTGCCTGCCAGTGCAGGAGACATAAGAGGTCTGGGTTCGATCCCTGGGTTGGGAAAATCCCCTGGAGGAGAAAATGGCAACCCACTCCAGTATTCTTGCCTGGAGAACCCTATGGACAGAGGAGCCTGGCAGGCTACCACTCCATGGGGTCACAAAGAATTGGACATGACTGAAGCAACTTAGCACACAACACCTAAAAGGAGTACTAAACATAATAAATATAAAAATGTGAGATCAAATAATTTCTAAGAAATTACTTGCTCTTTCAGGATGTTGGTAATTAGTTATTTTGTAATTACACTTTATCTTCCTCACTGAGTCATGGATTAGTGGTTAAGAAAAGTAATTTGTTTAAGGTACTTTAAGAAATAGTCTTTAGCACACTATCAGTATATAAGAGTTTCATTGATTTTGGTACCAGAATACATGAGCGTTGACTTCATTTCTAAGATTTTGATTGACTGCTTCTTAGTCAATTCAGCAAATGCATCTTGAGTACTTGTTATGTAAGAGGCCCTGAAGAGTTCAGATGGGTTCCAGGAGATGATAACCCTTAACAGACCTGTTGAGAGGCAGTTGCCTTGCTTCAGGGAACAGTTCAGTGTCCAATTCCTTCAACCAGAAAACAAACAGGTTGTTATAGGATGGTGCTTTATGGGATAACATGTAAATATATAGAGGCTCTGGAAAACTCCAAGCTGCTAAGGAAATAATAGAAGCACATGCCCAATTAAAGAAAACTGGAAATGATTTCTTATAATAATTTTAAAATGGAAGAAATAATGCAATATCACTGGCTGAAATTTCTTCAAAAGAGTTTGACACCAAAATATTTAATTTGGTTCTTGTTTATACATCTGTCACTAAGCTAGTATGTAATTCATTCCTTTTTGTGAAGGCAATAGCTGGTAAAGGTTACCTCTAGCCCAGAAGAATTTCTGAGACTTTGATTCTAGCCCGTGATGCAAGATTTCACAATCACTCTGCCTCTTTTTCCTACAGAGATTTGTATAAGAATGTTTCAAAAGCTTTCCTTCAATAATAACCAGCACTTAATTAAAAAAAATTAAATGTAAACCTTACATGTTCTGCTGGCCATTTTGTCTTTGGATAGTTCAGCTGGATAAGATCCAATACTATCTTTTTAATGGCTTAATTTCCTGGCAATAATAAAGATGAAGCTTTCAGGTTATAGAATGCTCCTTCAACTACTCAGAAATAAAAGGAACTTCTATTAACTTCATTTCTACAGTTATATTTTTATCACTGGAAAGAGTATTAAACTCTTGTGCATATTTTAAAAAGCTTTTTATTTTATGAGTAGTGATGAGTGGTTATATTATGATTTTGAGTTTTAACTCTATTGCATATCTTTGTGCCACAAATAGTAAGTTTATTCTTGTATGATACAAAATAACTGTATAATAGTGTTTACAAAGTATATGCCCTATTGGTTTTTTTGTTTATTTTTTATTGAGATATAGTTGATGTACAATATTATGTAAGTTTCAAGCATACAATGATAGTGATTCACAATTTTTAAAGGTTATATTCCATTTACAGTTATTATAAATTATTGGCTAAATTCCATGTGTTGTGTAATATATTTTTGTAGCTTGTTTATTTTGTGCTTAATTGTTTGTACCTCTTAATATTTTTTAATCATTTCAATATTATTGTTCTTTTTTCACTTATCAACCAATATTTACTGAACACCAAATTTCTGTCATCCATAGTTGTATATAAACCCAATGAGCTGGGCATTATTATTACTCTCTTTAACACATGAGAAAACCAAGACCAAGGGAAGCTAAGTAATTTACCTAAAATCACACATGGAATATGACATATTGGTAGCAGTGTAAATTCTGGACGTATATTGCCAAGACCCTGCAATTTACTAGTAGTGTGACCTTGGGCAAGTTTCTTAACCTCTTTGTGTCCCAGTTCTCTCATCTGTAAGATGAGAATAGTTACAGAACATACCTCATAACACTGAGACTCTCCAACAATGCCTAGTGTACAATGAGTGCTCGGTAAGTGTGGTCCAAAGACTTGAACCAGATCCTCTGATTCCATATTCACTGTTCTTTGTTTTATATTATATTGCCTTCATAATATGATGTAAAATTGTTCTTTCTATATAACTTGAGATTTAAATTCAAACTCTGAAGTATGTTTGGTACATTTTCAATAATTACAATTATTTATTCATAAACATAGCTAATCACGGGAAAATGTACTGATGATCCACTGTTCTCTGTCCATCACTATAGGATGGCAAATAAAAAGTTTGGCACAGAATAAACCAATACATCTGGTTGTGGGCAACAGCACCTTAATGACAAAATCCGATCCCCATAAGGAAATGTTTATGTTACAGGAAAAGAATTCCTTCAGACCAGTGTACCCTGTGATAGTGAGCGGAGGCTTCCTGCATTTGTTTGCTGTCAACAAGACAGACCAAACAGCCTGAAGCATCGTGGGAATGCTTGCTTTCACCTTGGGATACTTTCATTCCTTGAGCCTTTGAACTAGCGATGAGGGCAGGTATCTCCAAAAATACATTTAGATGCAAGAAGCAGTATCGTCAAATTCCAATGCAGTGGTTTCAGTCTCGACCACTCATTAGAATCCCCAGAGGAGCTTGTGAAAATTCCCATGTAAAAGGTGCACCCCCAGACCAATTATAGTAGGGTCTCGGGAGTGGGACCTGGGGAGAGGAGTTTTTACAATATTCAAGCAATGGAAAGGCCCTTGTAGGAAAAGCCTGATATCAGAAATTAGAGACTCCTAGTTAAGTGAATTTAGGTTAGTCATTTAACTCTTTGTATCTCATTTTTCATTTCTATTCATTGACAAAAATATTCTATCCTAAGTTGTTTCTCTATGGTTAGCATAAGATAGTATGTATGAAAATATAACTTACTAAGATAAGTTAGTGCTTATATATTTCGTTGGACATGACAGTCCCAGAGTGGAAAAAAATTTTTCAGATCAGCCTATACAGATATTGGACAATAGGTGTATTATAGAAGAAAACAGTAGAAGTGATGTCCAGTAATCCTCAGAAGTAAAGGCAGGAAGAACTATACTATGGAGGCAATGGAGGATGCTTTTCTACCAAAGATTACAAAATTGCCACAGTGTCAAGTTCTGGTAGCGATGAGAGATTTTAACGAAGAATTTCTGACAAAATCTCACCAGTTCTCATTTCTTCATTATTCCCCTCTGAACATCATCCACTGAACATATTCTCTGTCTAGACAGCAAGTTGTATTGAAGACAAAAAGATAAGCATTATGATAAGCTTTTTGAGGCATTTACAGTTAGATGGTAGGAGACAGATGAGTGACAAATCTATGAGAATAAAAGTTTCTTAAATCACTCAGTCATGGGTGACTCTGCAACCCCATGGACTGCAAGCATGCCAGGCTTCCCTGTCCTTCACTATCTCCCGGAGTTTGCTCAGACTCATGTCATGGAGTCGGTGATGCCATTCAACCATCTCATCCTCTGTCACCCCCTTCTCCTCCTGACTTCAATCTTTCCCAGCATCAGGGTCTTTTCTGATGAGTCGGCTCTTCACATCAGATGGCCAAAGTATTGGAGCCTCAGCTTTATGAATGAATGAATGTTCATTCCATTGAATGTTCAGGGAGGATTTCCTTTAGGATTGACTGGGT